CTAAATGACATCAACTCCTACTTTGCTCAAATGACTGAAGTTTTGTTTTGCAAAAACAGAAAACCAGAGTTCATAAAGTACCCCATAGAGACTTCTAATAATCTTACTCCCTGGTTTAGAGGTGTGGGGTATGTTATTTATTTGTTTTGTGTTTCAGCTCTTCTTTTCTGTTCAAGACATATGATGAAATATTGACATCCCAGAAAAATTATAGCCTTGAACTTGGTTTAGGTATTATTTCATCCCAGAAGGTTATTCCACAGAAGTGCCAAGGCTAATTTCCTGGATTTCTTTAAGTCTTTTATCAAATCACTCCTGTTTAAAATTTCAGTAATGATTCACTATTTGTCATTCATGGAACTCCCTAACCAGTATTTACTTTTCCTCAAAGTATGCATAATACTACTAATTTATCTGTCATGTCTATTTCATTTTGTCTTCATCTTTACCTACACCCACTGATGATGAATTTAAGGAAGGAAAATAGGAGCAGAAATCCTTTGTTCTCTCATCTAAAAGTTGACCTTTTAAGAAATATATAGCATTTCCTAGTCTGGGGCTGGTCATTCAGGCTGGTTCTACGGGAACTCAGCTCGGTGTCCTCAGTTCATTTGAGAATGTCTGCAGAGCACCAGAGTTGACCCAGGAGGAATGGACGGAGGGAGAACGGTCAGCTTTCCTCACTTTGCTAGTAAGGTCTGTCGGGGAACAGGCTCGTCACCTGCCCCCAGGCAAGATCTGCCCGAAAGAGGCTATCTTAGTGTTTCTGGAGCAGCCTGGGAATTGAGTGAATCAGTGTGTGACTGGTTGGTCTAGACCTGGCTGATAAACAAGACTTGCTGGAGGATACGGGCTGTGCAGGTGACTAAGCAGATGAAAGTAGGGTTAGTGAGTTCGATCAGGAGTTCTGTCAAAAGTTAACCTGTTTTGGGCCATAGTACAAGTTATTTTAATCTAAGTTATAAAAATAATGAGATATAAAGAGCTTTTGTATCATTGAAAAAAAAAGAAGTACATGGCATTTAGTGGTATCCAAGTTGGTGAGTGGCGACAGATAAGGAATCACTCTCCACATTCTCTTCACTCTAGCAAGTCATTTTTCATAATTTAACATAACTTTTGACATGCCATATTTTTCTTGTGAAGTCCTAGAAGGAAGTTGTTTGCATTTTTCCTTTTCTTTTCTGACTTGAATAGAAATTTAGTGAACTATCAATTTCACTTGTACTTTTTGGCCAGACCAAATACGAGATAGAGCATTTCAAAACTTCATATTCATGCTATCATAGTATGAAAAATAAGAGTGAACTATATAGACATCAAACATTTAAGTGACTTATTCAAGATTGCTTTATCAATCAGTAAGTAGAGCAATCCATAGCCCAAAAGCATGATTTTAATTTAAAACATGTCAAGGAACAGATAGGATGGTGAAGATCATATTGAATAAAATTAAGTAGAAAAATTACAATCAGTTCAAAAATATGAACGTGTTCATATACAGTAAAGTAAATGACTTCCCAGAGGTATTTGCATTCAGTCATGCTATACCTGAATTCCACACTTCAATTCTTGTACCCAGCAATAAGGAACCACTACTGCAGCTTACTTTGAAATCACAGTTTGCTTTAGAGTCATCTCATATTTCTCTTTCCTTTATCATGCCTATTATGTATGGATGGATATGAGCTAGCCCCTGACAATGTAAGAAGCTTTCCCAAATAATCCTGGTGGCTTGACTGTGGGAACCTGGCAGTTCTACTCTCTGTGATCCCCAGTACTACCTGCAATTTCCAGACACATCACAGCCAGCTGTGTTTAAGCATCACAAAAAGGGTGGAACTTCTAGTGAGTGCCACAAGTGAAAAAAAGGTGAGAGACTCATAGACAGGAAGTGACACCCTCTTTAGACATGAGTGTGAATACACAACTAAAGAATCAGAAAAGCTTTTTGTCTACTGCTGCCAAGTGTGTGAGCACTGCAGAATAATGTGTAGCATTATAGCACTGTCCTCCCGTTGTCCATCAATTTGCTCGAGCGGGTACCAGTAACATCTCCACTGTGAGACTTGTTGTTACTGTTTTTGGCATATCAAATACACCATGGGGAGATTGCCAGGCTCTGCCATGTGGGCAGGATGCTATCAATAGCTTGCCGGGCTCTCCAAGAGGGATGGAGGAATCAAACTCAGGTGGGCAGTATGCAAGGCAAACGCCCTACCTGCTGTGCTATCGCTCTAGCCCAGAATAGTGTGTAATCCCTGAAAAACATCACAGACAGGTGGTAAGTGTGTACCTCTGGTAATTGCAACAGCAATGAAAAGAATAGGAAAGAGAGAGGAAAAAATATTCAAGAATAGTGATCATTTTTAAAACATAAGGCCATTTAAGTGTAAAATATGCTAAGACCACTCTCCATTTCACACAGGAATTGTCTTTCACAATTTGAAAGGCACATAGGCACCATTGAAAGAACATTACTTTCATGTCCTACCTTCTATTCCATGGATAATTTGTTACTATATTCCTCAAAGATATTAAAGCCATGATTCATTCCTTATGTTCACAGGCATTATGTAACTATAAAATGAAAATTGTAAGTTATAAACAAGCAAAACCAGAAACCCAGTAAAATTTTTTAAATGAAGCAATATTTTCTGATTTTAGAGAAGATAAAGTAACAAAGATAGGATTAAATCTCCTCCCTGTAACATACACCTGCTGATACTTCCATAGTTAAATAGAAGACAAGGGAGTTTCCATTTTACAGTTCACAGAAGTTCGTACTCTGGAATCCAGGAAAGGGTTAGAGGGACAGGCTATTCATCTGGGAAGTCAGATGGAGAATAAATGACATCTGATTAGTACACGTTACTTCACCATCTCCAAAAAAATCAGAAAACAGGTAATAAGGGAGACCTATATTCAGTAAAATGAAGACTCTTCTAGAAGATCATTGACTACATAAATATAAAATTTCAGGGAATCTTTTGTAAGATTATATTTGGGGTGGCAGAGATTTCTTAATCACTTGATCACTTGACATCCCGTTACTCATCGATTTGCTTGAGCGGGTGCCAGTAACATCTCCCTGTCACATGCTAGTGTAGCCCAATGGCGTCTGCTCACTCCAGGAACACAAAGAACCTCAAACCGATTATTTAGGGTCTTGACGAAGAAGTCTGACCATCTCGTAGGTAGGCGGCCACAGGATCTTTTTACAACCTGTGGAATCCAGTCGGTAACGATTCTAGTCCAGCAGTCGTCTCCAAATCTCATTACATGTCCAGCCCATCTGATTTTCGATGCCTTGGCAAACGAGACAGAGGTGTCAGAGATTTTTTAATGTAAAGTTTAAATCACCTTTTCTAATCTCAGATCTCTTTTTTCTGGTCTTATAATTTGACAAACCAAATTTTAGTAAAGGTTATTTATTTCCATCTCAAAACTGTCATTTTAGTACTTTTCTTTTAGAGAAGAGCTAGATTTTGTTTATTTAACCAACAATATGTAAATCTATACACATACTGATATCTCATTCCTATTCTCCTTCTCTCCTTCCTCACCACAGATTCTTAGTTCAAGATTTTTTTTTTAAATTTTATCCTAACCTCCGCCCCTCTCGGAGAGCCTGGCAAGCTACCAAGAGTATCTGATATGCCAGACACAGTAACAATAAAGTCTCCAATGGAGATGTTACTGGGCCCGCTCGAGCAAATCGACGATCAACGGGAGGGCCTTTACCTTATCCTAAGCTACAACTGGTTCTGCCACAGTAAACTTCTGCTTCCTGAGAAACATGCTCCTCCCTGTTCATACTCCTGATTATGTTTCCACTATAGATCATAAAATAAATACAGGCAATTAAAACAAAGGATTCAATAAAGAGACTTCACTGATTATGTTCTTCAATTTGAAAAAAAATTACAGTAATTTTAATTGTGCAAAATTAGCATTTAATTTTCATTTATTCTTTTTGGCTTCTTCTTGGGAACCTCGTCAATTAAGGTGAGAATGCAAATGAATCTAGTCTGTTGAATAAGCAAAACTTAATTTTACCTTTAAGTGAAAATTATAACATCCAAAGAATTTCATTCATCAGCATTAATATTTCCTCTGGTCATATTTAGTTTTTGAGTTTTCGGTAATGATGGTTCTCTCTACAAGTTTTTCTTTCACATGGCTTTCAACAAAGATTTATAATATGCATATTTTTATTGATTTTATCTATTGGTGAACACATGGAAAGTTGAGTCAATTGTCAAAGTTGGAGTTGGGTAAAAACAAGCATAATCCAGTATAACTTTTGTCTTTCTCTTCCAGTAATACTACCGGGAAAAAGGGGGTTTCAAGAATGTGTATTAATGGTGACAGAAAGTGGAGAAGGGAGAATGACATACAGTAAGTATAAAGTTTAATTCTTAGTACTTTTAAAAATTACTTTTAGGAGCCAGGAAGATAGTTCAAATAGCTCAAATAAGGCCTGGTCAGCAGGTTCAAGGCCTTCTATTCTATCCCTAGCCATATGTGGCCCCCAAGCACCAACTTGGGTTTCACTGGTTGTCACTGGGTGGTCACCTTGGTTGACCTGAGTATTGACAAGTGTGGTCCTTTATAAAAACTTTCTATTGTGCTTTCTTTTGTCAACATCACTAAGTGATTCTATTTTCTGTTATTGTCATTAAAATTACCAAATGTTTACTCTATGTTTACTACTGTAATTAATATCTGTGAAACATGACAATGAATTTGTTATCTCCTTTCAAAGTGACAATTTGTAGTACATAATATTAAATTTAGTATTGACATTAGTATATATAATGTGTATTGTGCATGTAATACACATTAATAATGGCATACAAGTAAAGTGCTTGTATGCTAGTATACAAAGTGTCACTGTCACTGTCACTGTCACTGTCATCCCGTTAATCATCGATTACTCAAGTGGGCGCCAGTAGCATCTCCATTTGTCCCAGTCCTGAGATTTTAGCATCATAAACTTAATGCTCTCTCTCCACACGGATGTGGCATGCTAGCTGGATGTCTTTGGACATAATGGTGACGCGTTTGGTGGGGAATGCGCAGAGGTTGGTGTCCTCAAAGAGTCCCACTAGGTAGACCTTGCACACTTCCTGCAGCACCATGATGGCTGAACTCTGGGAGCGCAGGTCGGTCTTGAAGTCCTGTGAGATCTTGCGCAGCACAAGGTGTCTGACTGGTAGCAGTGTGGCTTCTTCACACCACTGGTAGCTGGTGTGCTCTTGCAGGACGCCTTGTTGGGCAGCTGCTTGCAGGGTGCCTTCCTGCCCTTTGACTTGCGTGGAATCTGCTTAGTACAAGCCCTCTCTTTCTTCCCAACTCGGCTGGAGATTCCTTCAGGGTTAGGGAAATGAGACCCATTTTAGCTACTGTTGTTGTCATTTGGTACTTCACCGGTGAGTTGTCAGGCTCTGCCCTGCAGGCTGGATACCCTCAGTAGCAAAGTGATACAAAGTGATGTAATCATATTATGATATAAAGTATATATTTATGTGTAGTTAAATATATGTGAATATAATCTTTTGGGGGGGAACTCTCCCTAACCGTGATGAGGGTCCCTGTCCATGTCCAGCCCAATGGTTTAGTGCACTGACCCTGTGATAAACAACTAGTTATAACATTTCTAGTATCCTCAAGAGCAGTGAACAGCGGACAATGCAGTACCAGGGCTCACACATGGATTCCCACACATGCATACATGCCTTTATGATTGCTAAGCTATCTCCCAGTCCTATTTGAATATATTTGTAGACAGACATATTTTATAAAAGTACTTAGTAATAGTACAGCAGGACTGTACTACTATACAAGAAGGGAGACATCCACAACATTGGCAACTATCGCCCAATCTGCCTATTGTCTGTCGTCTACAAACTGTTCACTCGAGTCATCCTGAATAGGATTAGCAGAACACTAGATGAAGGACAACCATGTGAACAAGCCGGATTCCGAAAAGGATTCAGTACCATCGACCATATCCACACAATTACTAAGCTCATTGAGGTTTCTCGGGAGTTCAAGATGCCGCTCTGTCTAACGTTCATTGATTTAAAGAAGGCCTTTGATTCTGTTGAGATGGAAACGGTCATGGAAGCCCTAGCCAATCAGAGCATACAAACTCAGTACATCAGGATCCTTCGTGAGCTCTATTGCGGATTCACTACCAAGATCTCAGCATTCTACAAAGAAGTAATCATCCATATCAAGAGAGGGGTTCGACAGGGTGATACCATTTCACCAAAACTCTTCAGTGCCACCCTCGAGAACATCATGCGACGACTGGAATGGGAAAGCATGGGAGTGAAGATAGATGGTCGGCAACTACACCACCTCCACTTTGCTGATGACATAGTTCTAATAACACCAAACATCAACCAAGCGGCACAAATGCTGAACGACTTTGACCGTGAATGTGGAAAGGTCGGACTACAGCTGAATCTTAAGAAGACAACGTTTATGAGAAACAGCCTTGTTCCTGACGCTCCATTCACTCTCATGGAACCACCGTCTCCGAATGCAACAGTTATATATACCTAGGTCGTGAAATCAACATGATGAATGACCTGGCACCTGAGTTGCACAGGAGGAAGAGAGCGGCTTGGAATGCATTCAAGAACGTTGAAGAAATAACTAAAAGGACAAAGAACCTCCAGCTACGAGCACATCTCTTTGATTCCACTGTTCTTCCTGCATTAACATATGCCTCAGAGACCTGGACCCTACGAAAACAGGATGAGAACGCTATCCGGGTCTCTCAAAGAGGAATCGAAAGAGCTATGCTTGGAATATCATGATTCACTCAAATGAGAGATAGAATCCGGAGTTCTGATCTTCGTCAACGCTCAAGAATCAGGGACGCTGTCTCATTTGCCAAGACATCAAAAATCAGATGGGCTGGACACGTAATGAGGTTTACAGACAACCGCTGGACTAGAGCCATTACTGATTGGATTCCATGGGACATCAAAAGATCACGTGGACGCCCACCTACAAGATGGTCAGACTTCTTCGTCAAGACCCTGAATGATTGGTTTGAGGCTCTGCATGTTCCTAGAACGAACAGATACCATTGGGCTACGCTTGCACGCAACCGGGATGAATGGAGACGTTACTGGCACCCACTTGAGTAAATCGATGAATAACTGGGATTAAGTGATTAAGTGATTAAGTGACTTAGAATATACACAGCAGGTAGAGCATTTGCCTTGCATGCGGCCAACCCGGGTTTTATTCTTCCGTCCCTCTCAGAGAGCACAGCAAGCTACTAAAAGTATCCCGCCCGCATGGCAGATCCTGGCAAGCTCCCCATGGAGTATTTGATATGTCAAAAACAGTAACAAGTCTCACAATGGAGACATTACTTGTGCCTGCTTGAGCAAATTGATGAACAATGGGAGGACAGTGCTACAATGCACAATATGTATAATATTTATAGTAATACAAAAAGAATACTGTGAAAAAGTCAGTCTGAGTTTGAGGTGTTGGAGTGAGTAGACAAATCAGACAAAAACTTTCACCCTTACATTTAGGACCTGGGATTTTAATGCCAGCATTCCTATAAACATTCACAAAATATCAATACTTAGGAAATAGATACCGTTAAAAAAAAACAAACTTGCCATCTTGAACCTGTGCAATGGAAAATATATTTTTCTCTAGAAAGCTTTAAATTAAGCTTCTACCATTGCCTGATTTTTTGTGTTTCTAGGGAAGAGCCTTGTAATAGCCCCCTTACCTCTCCAAATACTTGCATTTTTTGTGATCTTTTAAAGGTTCAGAAGTTCAATTGTCAGAAGCTGAATCTGAATAAAGAAGAGAACTATTAGAGAAATGATCAGAGACAATGCAGGTTAGCCAAAGGACAGCAAATACACCTTTATTTTCTGTTCCTGTCGTGCTATTTAACTACCCTGAAGGAAACACCACAGATCATTGATATTCCAGAAGATAGTAGAATGTGATCAGTGTTATGATGCTTTCATTTTATGTCCTAAAAATGCCTAATGTAAATTTCATTTTGGAACTTAAGAGATGTTTTTATTCAGTGTATGAAGTAATGGAGGATTTTCACATTAAAACTAAAATCAAAAGAAATCCACTACCCACCCCCGAAATAAAAGGAAGAAAAAGAAGACAAAGTATTTTGTACTCTGGAATCCCCAAATCTACAACTCCTAGTCTACTTAGAAATGATCTTAGGAAACTGAGGTTAGACTGAAAAATTAAATACCAAGGTTTGATTGTAGAGCAGATTATGTTTGTGATATGAGTATAAAGATAAATGAAAATTACTCTATTGTCCAAGTTTGTGATCACTACAAATACATGACTGCAATACTGCTTTTTTTTAAGAATGCAGGAATTTTATTCTTATTCTAGACAAAGCACATACAGAAGAAACATAAGGAAAATCTACCTAGAATAGTTGGCATTTATCTCCTGGACATTACAGGAATACTCTAGTCTACTTACCTTTAAAAAGACAAAGACAAAAACTCTCTAATGCAAATTGGTTTCCATAATGCACTAGGATTTATTACCTAAAGTCCAGTAAAGAAGATAATATAAATACTATGCAATGAATTCATGAAAAGATAATGTTGTGTCAAATTGAAGTTATTATAATTATAATTATGTACAATTAAAAGACATTCACTATTTTTTAGTCATATACTGACTCGAGACAAAATTTAATATCAACGTAACATTGTTCTATATAGCAATTATGATAATTGGCATCTAATTCACAATTAGACAGATTCACAATTATAATGAAGTCATTCTTGAAACAATTAATAAATCATATTAACCCTAGTGGCACATCAAGTTCTATAAACTTTCTCCTAGAAAGACTATTTTTAACTTTTAGTAGTATGAACACATTTAAATTTTGGAGATTTAAACAAGTGCTTTGTTTTAGTATATACATTATATACACTAGCTAAAATTTTATTAATAAATGCTATATATGGTATATATATATATATGGTACTACCCAGCCGTCGCCACACTCCAGGACGCTTTCCGGACCCGCGAGGCAGCTCCGGCCGAGACCCACGCACAACTGAAGACCCACAGAACAAGGTAAGCGGAACTCTCTGAGACCTTGGACTCCAGGCTCGCCGGACCCAGGGACAGAGCTTCTCTGCTTGCTCCCACCACCACAGACGTCGCCACACTCCAGGACGCTTTCCGGACCCGCGAGGCAGCTCCGGCCGAGACCCACGCACAACTGAAGACCCACAGAACAAGGGATCGAATTGTGCACAGGAGACCCACCCTACCCAGATAAATACCCCACTGGCAGACTTCCACTCTCGACACTACTTCCACTACCCAGCCGTCGCCACACTCCAGGACGCTTTCCGGACCCGCGAGGCAGCTCCGGCCGAGACCCACGCACAACTGAAGACCCACAGAACAAGGTAAGCGGAACTCTCTGAGACCTTGGACTCCAGGCTCGCCGGACCCAGGGACAGAGCTTCTCTGCTTGCTCCCACCACCACAGGTGACAAAGGGATTCTAATCAGGAGCCCCACCCTACCCTGCCCTGTCTGCTTCCATCAACCACCCAGGGATCGAATTGTGCACAGGAGACCCACCCTACCCAGATAAATACCCCACTGTCAGACTTCCACTCTCGACACTACTTCCACTACCCAGACGTCGCCACACTCCAGGACGCTTTCCGGACCCGCGCGGCCGCAAGCGGCCGCGCGGCACATCATAAGACACTAAATACCTGTCTTCTGGAATTGTCGTACCATATTTGATAGGGTTCAAATATGGTAACACCTACAAAGGGGATTAGAGGTCACCCCAAAAGCCTCTATACCTCTCGGAAAGACTGGCAAGCTACCGAGAGTATTCCCCCCGCACGGAAGAGCCTGGCAAGCTATCCGCTGTGTATTCGATATGCCAAAACCAGTAACTACAACTGGTCTCATTCACCTGACCCTGAAGGCTTCACCGACATGGCAGCACTGAGAAGGATGAGAAAGGAGAGGCCGACAAAATCTCAAGGCCGACCTAGGCTGCCACAACGAAGAAAGACAAAAATGATCGTCTGTACTTTCAATGCACGTACGCTAGCATCAGATGCATCCATCGAGGACCTGATGGTACAAGCGCGAATGATCAAGTACGACATCATTGGTCTGACCGAGACAAGAAGACACGAATCTCACCATGCCGTTTTCGACACTGGAGAAGAATTGTTCCTCGGAACATGCGATAAAAGAGGTGTTGGAGGCGTCGGTGTCCTTGTCAACACAAACTTGGCCAAGA